AGGAATTTGGTGTTGATGTTGATGTGTCTGTCTTATGTCAGATATTTCTTTAGTGGTTGTCATCATTTATATCTTGAAGTGTTTACCCGGAAGGAATTTGGTGTTGATGTTGATGTGTCTGTCATATGTCAGATATTTCTTTAGTGGTTGTCGTCATTTTGACTTTTAAGTGTTTACCCGGACGTAATTTGGTGTTGATGTTGATTTGTCTGTCTTATATCAGATATTTCTTTAGTGGTTGTCGTCATTTATATCTTGCAGTGTTTACCCGGAAGTAATTTGGTGTTGATGTTGATGTGTCTGTCTTATGTCAGATATTTCTTTAGTGGTTGTCGTCATTTTGACTTTTAAGTATTTACCCGGAAGTAATTTGGTGTTGATGTTGATGTGTCTGTCTTATATCAGATATTTCTTTAGTGGTTGTCGTCATTTCTATCTTGAAGTGTTTACCCGGAAGTAATTTGGTGTTGATGTTGATGGGTCTGTCTTATGTCAGATATTTCTTTAGTGGTTGTCGTCATTTTTATCTTGAAGTGTTTACCCGGAAGGAATTTGGTGTTGATGTTGATATGTCTGTCATATGTCAGATATTTCTTTAGTGGTTGTCGTCATTTTTATCTTGAAGTGTCTACCCGGAAGTAATTTGGTGTTGATGTTGATGTGTCTGTCATATGTCAGATATTTCTTTAGTGGTTGTCGTCATTTTTATCCTGAAGTGTTTACCCGGAAGTAATTTGGTGTTGATGTTGATGTCTCTTTCTTATGTCAGATATTTCTTAAGTGGTTGTCGTCATTTTTATCTTGAAGTGTTTACCCGGAAGTAATTTGGTGTTGATGTTGATGTGTCTGTCATATGTCAGATATTTCTTTAGTGGTTGTCGTCATTTTTATCTTGAAGTGTTTACCCGGAAGTAATTTGGTGTTGATGTTGATGTGTCTGTCATATGTCAGATATTTCTTTAGTGGTTGTCGTCATTTTTATCTTGAAGTGTTTACCCGGAAGTAATTTGGTGTTGATGTTGATGTGTCTGTCTTATGTCAGATATTTCTTTAGTGGTTGTCGTCATTTTTATCTTGAAGTGTTTACCCGGAAGTAATTTAGTGTTGATGTTGGTGTGTCTGTCTTATGTCAGATATTTCTTTAGTGGTTGTCGTCTTGTAGTGTTTACCCGGTGTTGATGGCAGATCTTTGATAGTCTTTGTAAAATTTATTTACACCTTTTCAGGAATTGGGGACAAATTTATAGCTTTGAATAGACACCTGTATATTGTTGAAGGTCGAATGTTGACCTTTAAATGTCTGTAATTTTAATTTTGAGTGGTTGGGTTGCTGTCTCATTGACTTTTACCCCACAACGTCTTATATATACTCATATTAAATAGATATGTGTAGAGCTAGATGTATATAGTTAAAAATGCCAGCATTATTATGACCTTTATCGACAAGTCTAGAATTGAGCCAAAAGGAAAGATTAAAAGGACAATGCCTAAACTTGTTAGCTGTATCAGTAATAGTACCGTAAAAAGTTTGGCGTGAAATTTCACTTTTGTTTTATCCCAACTGAGAATGTTCACTCCATAAGATGAGTCCTATGATACACCATCACAAAGGAACGGGAAATAAACAATAGGAAAGGAAAAGTCATCTCGGCAAAAAAAAAACTTCTAATTGTAGTGGACCGAAATAAAAACGAAATTTAGAATTAGTCTATACTTGAAAAATAATACCAATAAGACATTATGTTTTTGAATGTTAATTTGAAATAACATAGTAGTTGTTGAATTGACAATTTCTTAAAATGTACGATTAACAAATAACTTGAAAAGGAGGTAATTTTTGTCATTAACTGAACAGACAATTTGTGAAGTTTAAACAAAAGGTTTTATTTAATTTTACATTTTGTTATGACATTTTGAATCATTTTATATAACAAGAAGAGATGACTTATATTATTTCATTTAAAGGTTTGCATTGAACACATTCATCAATCTGTTTCCGTAAATGCATGCATGCTATATGTTCATCATCAGTTTCCCGTCATTTCTAGAAATACTCTTAGAGTTATCTCTCTTCAAGCGTTACATATAATCTATACAATACCTTTTACTATGCTTACTGCTCTTACTCCACTCAACTAATTTCTTATCCAGTAACAAGAGACATGACATGAGACATACCAATGGAAGTATTTATGTAATCTTACTAGTAGACTCACTAACTATGTCCCTGTCCAATGACAAGAGTCTAATTTAGTTGATATCTTTTTCTACTTTTACTCCACTCACTTAAGTTTAATAATACAGACATACCAGTGGATATCTGTTCTACTTTTACTTCACTCACTTAAGTTCTTGTTTAATGATACAGACATACCAGTGGATATCTGTTCTACTTTTACTTCACTCACTTAAGTTCTTGTTTAATGATACAGACATACCAGTGGATATCTGTTCTACTTTTACTCCACTCACTTAAGTTCTTGTTTAATGATACAGACATACCAGTGGATATCTGTTCTACTTTTACTTCACTCACTTAAGTTCTTGTTTAATGATACAGACATACCAGTGGATATCTGTTCTACTTTTACTTCACACACTTAAGTTCTTGTTTAATAATACAGACATACCAGTGGATATCTTTTTCTACTTTTACTCCACTCACTTAAGTTCTTGTTTAATGATACAAACATACCAGTGGATATCTGTTCTACTTTTACTTCACTCTCTTATGTTTTTTGTCCAATTACGAGATCCTAAGCCGATTGACATCTTTTTTATCTGTTTTTATCAAACTCACTTGTGTTTTTGTCCATTAACGAAACATAATATCCCAATGGATAATCTGTATCTACTCAAACTCCACTCGTGTAAGTTTATTTCCAATGTTAAGAAGAGACATACCAATGGATATCTTTATCTACTCTTACTTCGTGCCCCTTTTTAATATCAAGAATCTATACAGATAGATATCTTTATCTACGTTTATCTTCTCTTACTACTCTGTATTATGTTCATGTCCAATGACGAGAGCCTATACTAATGGATGTCCTTATCTACTCTTATCCCACTTACGTATGTATCTATCCAATGACGAAAACCTATACTCATGATATCTTTGTCTTCTCACACTCCATTCACTTGTGTTCTTGTCAAATGACAAGAGGCATATTAATGGATATATTTTGTACCCCAGAACATCCTAAACCAATGTATATCTTTATCTTCACTTACTCAACTCACTTATGTTCCTGTCCAATGTCAAGAACCTACACCAATGGATATCTTTCTCTCTTACTCCTATAAATTATAATCCTGATAAAAAACGAGAGCCTACATCAATGGATGTCTTTTATTCTCTTACCCAACTCACTTATTTCCCTGTCTAATGATAAGACAAGAATGCATCCGAATGGATATATTTATATTCTCTTACTACACTAACTTACATGTATGTACCGGTCCAATGAAGAGAACCAACACCAATAGATACATGTTCGGCTCTTATAGTCCATTCGTTTTTATTCCTGTCAAATAAAGCATTTTTAAAAGTGTCTGTCCAATATCAATACAATAATAGTCAGTTGCCAGTTGTTCTATTCGGATCGTTTAAAGTGTTTTTGTCAGAAATTGGCCAGTACTTGAATATTCAATATTCTTGCAAATAGTTTGAAATTAAAATGTTCAATATATCTCATTGGTTTTATTAAAATCACTTTACCCTTGAGCGGATGATATTTTCTTTTTACGAAATCACTATGTATCTCTTTAGATATAGCGTATACGTATATTGCAGTACGTTACCTTACAATAATGTGTGGCGTAAAACTTGGTGTGAAAATTAATTTACTTTCAAAGTCAACTTGTTGATTTTTAATGACAGGATCGTGTTTCAGTCATCGCTTTTTTTGTAATTACCTTTAAATAAGGGCTTTTCATATTTGGCTACCTCTCAACCTAGTTAAAGTTCGTGCACGTTGTTTATTTTAGCAACAAAAAAGGCGTAAAAATTAAAGCTTTCATATAAATTATCGATCAATTCCGTCATGAATTTTAAAAACTCAGTAAAACAGCATAAGACGTAACACTCTATGAAACGTTTAATTTATCAACTTAAAGAATAAAGATGTGCAATATATTGGGCAAATTGATCCTAAACATGATTGACATTTTTATATCAAAAGGAGAAAAATCTCTAGAAAATTAACAGCTACTTTTTATCGATGTAAATTCAGTCTAACATCCTATCCGCCAATCCAATGTTATGAGAATACAAAAGCAAAATAGACAGAAATTATCATGTGATTTTAAAAGTTATATAAAGTTTAGTTATTTTTCTTTAAAAAGATTTAATAATCTCTATACGGATTTTCGAACACGCTTGAATATCAGTCTTGAAATACTATTTTGCTTGTTTCCTCCCATTTTTAAGTCTGGTCAGTTCCGATTATCCTGGCTTAAATTTATGAGAACATCACACGGTACGTGAAATTAATAACTTTAACTATTCAGAGCTAACAGTGACACTACATCTTTATTTACTCATCATTTTAAAGATATCACTCAAAAAGTATGTCAGATGGCCGGCATATATGCATATATTTTTTTTATTTAAACTTTTTAATACCATGCTTTTTTTTATTTTGACTAGGCGAATTGGAGGAAACTTCCATTTCAAAATTACTTGAATTACATGTGTAAGTAGATTAACGCCGTGTGTGCTCCTCTACTTTTAAATGAGAGGTCTTAAATTAGTAAAAAGACTGAGGTCATGACTCAAGCTGTCAATGTGTGTATCAATACATAATGACATGATACAGTGTTTATAGAAAGTAAATTTTTTGTGTCCAAAAGAAACAAACTACTATCTAATTCTTCATCCCTAACAAATTCGATACTCTAAGGCAGACTGAGAATAATCTTATCCGAATTATAAACACGGAATTGTAAATATTCCGGATGTAGACCTGTTATTTATGTACTTCCGGTTTATATTCGTAAATGGAGAAGTAGGTTACGCAAATTGGCGGTTTGTTTAAAAGAAATTAAGTCAACATGTCGGATACCAATATTAAAAATAGAATGGACACGTTAAGAAAGTCATTTAGACTTCCATGGAAAACAGGAAAGCGTTATAATGTACTGGAAGGGAAAGAAAACACATACTTTAACACACCGAAACCGTCACACAGACGACAAAGTTCAGACGGGCAGATACAAAACATTCAACAAAATAACAAGGAAAGTCGCTTCAAAAGAAATACGAGTCTTACGAGATCAGTGCGAGATGCTGTTGGAACAATAAAACAGGTAATTTTACTACCTCTAACCTCGAGCATTAAATTCGTTAATAATATTAACAATCGTCAATATAAATTTCAATGTAATTTCTTTTTACATGTATCCACGCTTCTGTCTACATGCAAATGACATTACCAGCTACCAAAATTAAAATGGGTTATAATACATGATAATAACCCGTTGGGACATATTCCAAATGGAATATACATGTACTGTGCAAAAAAAAAAAGATTTTTTGCAAGAAAGATTTTGGAGGTCTCATAAAATTTAGATAAATTGGGTCATGAGTCAGGCTCTCAATGTGTATTCATGCATAATGACTAAGTTGACATTTCAAAGCAATTTGGGGCAGGAAATGAATAAAAGTAGCTTTGTAAAGTTGTTTAAAATTTGCACAGACGAAACACATTTAAATATCTTTATGATTAGACATAATGCACGTCTTTCAACATAGCTAAATATATGTAGATATGCACTAAAATTTCACTGTATATGTCATCAAATCAAGATCACTATACAAATCCTTGATCAGATGAAGTATTCACTGGAAGAGGTAAAAGCTATGGAAACGTGGCATGGCGACGTCCACAAAAAGTCATCTTTTAAGAATTAGCAAATAAAACATGTAACAAGCATCCATTTCTTAAAAAATGAATAGTAAGCATGGACTAATGTCAAATTGTTCTAAATATTTGAAAACAAAACATCTGTTATTCGATTTTTAAGGATGTGAATTTATGCAGGGATGCAATTTGGATACTCCTCATTACAGAATCATGTATCATTTTGAGGTCGGTTCAAACCCATTTTTCTACGATTCAATATGAATTCAAAATTAAATTGGTGGAACTATATAGTAAATAAGGATACATCTACAAAATAAACCCAGGATGGAAACTTTTGTCTAGATCATAAATAAACATGATAAATGTAGGTGGAAAAAACTGTCTAAATAGGTGCAATTTGGGTACCTTCACGTTATATATGAATACATTTACTGTAATAGTAAGTTAGTACAAATGTACATGTAGCTATCTACTAAAGGGGTTTTTAACTGGGGTAAACTTTAAAAGCAAAATGACATGTACATCCATTCAAACCTGTACAATAAATAGCTGACAGTGGCGGATCCAGGGGGTTCCGATGGTTGGAACCCCACTTTTTTTGATGATCAATGCTTTTGAATGGGGACATATCGTTGGAACCCCCTTTAAAAATGGCTGGATCTGCGCAGCCCCTGGCTCATTTAATTAATAATTAAAAACTTTTGATGTGTAGTTTAATATACATGTATGTGCATGTTTTATTATATAAGGAAAACCATACAAATTTCCTGTAATTTACTAATTAACTAAGATCATTACATTTATGTTTATAGATTAGTTGTGATCAAATATTATCAAATGTTAATCAAATTCATTTTATAATAAACCAAAAAAAAAAACGTTTGGGAACAAAAACCAAAAAACCCTGCATGTTGTTTGTAGGTTTATACAAAATACAGTTTACTAAAGTGTTTTTTTTTTATATTTGATTATACATTTACTTTGTTGTTACTGCTAGATTAACATTCCCATCCAAAACATCATGGTTTATACTTGTTTTCTATACATTAAAATTAACTCATGTTTTGGTATTGTAAGAATTAAAATCAGATTGTAAAGAAGCTTATATATACTACAGACTGTAAGCCTACATGTATCATATAAACAGTGTATTACCATGATTACTAGCCAGCTGTTGTTTAACATATTAAAATTGATTTTTTTATTACTAACTTTTTTTGACAAATTGAAAATAAATTTCTCTCCTATTATAATTTAAAGAAGACTATTGTTTTGTTATGTAATAATTACATAATAAAAGAGCACTTATATATTGTATTATTTACCCAGTGGTCAGATCTCACCCAGAGATAATAAAGGTTGTTTACATTTATCTGTAATTATATTTAATCACATTGATCTAGGTGATAATTACCATCAAAGATGTTTTTGTTGGATTAAGAACATGTGAAGAATGTGACATTAATTGTATGATGTAATATCAATATTTGGCATCTTAAGTCTTTTCAAATAATTTGTGGGTTTACATGTAGTATGATAGTGAATAAAAACCAAACACTGGACATCAAATAAAGATATAATATATTGTCACTCTACCTACATGTATTGTACTCAAAATTCTTCTCAAGTGTTTTCAACTTTAAACTTACATAATATTTTTCAAGATGTCATTCACATATATACAATGTATGTAAGTAAGTATTATCTAGTTTTGCCACTTCAAAATAAACCATCCCAATTTTCTTTGCCTAAAATATACAAAATGGTAAGGTGAAAAAAAATCACAGGGAAAAAAACACATTTAATAAATGTAGGAAAAAAGTCACAAATCAGATAGGAAATTTTTGTACAAATGTTTGATAGTATTTAAATTCTTTTCTCCTTTTTAAAAAGAATATATATGGAACTTTCTTGGGAAAATAGACATAAAACAAACAATAACAAATGTATTTTTTTACGCTTTTTATTAATGGGACATTATATATATAATTAGCTGTCAAATTCATGTTCACCGATTTTACTCAAATTCTCATAATTGATTTATAACCTTCTAAAATGTATATCCAACTAACAAAAAGTAAAAAATGAACAATTAACAAGGCATGGACTCGATAATATGTATCCGTCGATGGTCATATAAACTGATATAAACATAAATATGGATATAAATAGATAGCGAACACGTGCTATTGGGTTTTTCTAGGTCTGTTTGATTTCATATTATTGGTTAAACAAAAATGTTAATCATCGTTTTTACCTGTATAAGAATAAATTTTTGTTGATCAAATCAGTCATGTCAGTCAACCAAATGGTTTACCCTTGTTCCATTTTCAATGTTGACATTCTTTTTCTTTTATTAGCTGAACAGGCCTAGTTCATGTGTTACCCATCTCTAGGCAAGGGGTTAAATAGAAAGTTGCATAAATACGGATTACCGGTAATCTGATTTAATGAGGTCGAATTATTCACTTGCAAGTGAATAATTCATCAGTGATGTTTCTAAGCTTATTTTGAGAAAATTGAACCAAACTGGCTGCTAAATGTGAATTATTATTTCACTATTTCACTTTCATTAATAATTGAACAAAAAAAAAATCATATTTAATTTTTTTTTATATCTCGTAGCTATGCCCCTTTAAGTGTTTACTATAATCTGTCCTGACATCTAGGAGATTGGCAGGAAATATAAATAGTAAATTGAAACCAGTCAATTTAACTGTCTGTTGAATTGTTTTGTATTTTAACTAAAATATTTATAATGATTTTTTTTTTTCATACTAGAAATTCCGATCATCAACAAGACAGAGGAAAAGGTTACATGATGATAAACCAACAACTCCTTTACGTAAGACAAAGAAAACAACACAGAGTGCAGGGAAAACATCCAATCAGATGGCTTACAGAGATGTTAAAATGTACTCGCCATTTACCATTGAGACACCAAGGAAACACAAAGGAATCAGGACAGTTACACAGTCTAGAGCATGGTAAGTTTACATCCTTGTGTCATTAAATCAGACAAACATTATTATAGATTATCCATGGTTTTTCAAACAAGATGGTGTTTCTCAGCTTCAATCTCATCGAAGGGCGACAGCAGAGAAACATCTTCCAGTTTTAAAGACCATAGATAGATAATCTGTTTATCACTATTGTGCTTATTAAGTCGTTGATGTTTACAGCGACAACGTCACATGCGCTCTTAGTTTCTGATGATAATTTTCTATCTCAAGCGAGTAGCGTGATATGAAAAATTATCGCAAAAAAATATCAAAGGAAGAATACACAAAATAGCAATAATGTTTGTTACTGCAAAACATCTGGAAATTACCATTATGAAGTATGAACAAAAAAAATCCTTGGGTTCACAATCATGAGGATTCTTACGTGTACTTGTACATATATATATGTACATCATGTAATATGATTATTGTTTCATCTTTTTCATATATGTTTTAAAAAAGACTTGATGCTTTGGTACTCAAACATGTGAAAGGAAGTAAATGATTGAAGAAAGGATGTAAATGAAGATTAAACATGCTGAAAGGCATTTAAAATAGCACAGTCAAAAATAAACTAGTATGCAAAATTTTCAACAACTAAGTATATTGACATACCTAAAACTTACTACAAAAACCAAGCCAGAAAATATTGGAGTCAAATTCTGGGAATAAAAATATCACTTTATTCAAAGTTTAATATCATTTGTAATATATCAGTGTGTATGAAATGATAAGAAGGTTTTAAAATTATATATTATAGATATAAGAAGATGTAGTATGAGTGCCAATGAGACAACTCTCCATCCAAGTATACATGTATAAGTGATTACAACAACTGAAATATTGCCGAAAGGTTTATATGAAGAAATTCTCAAACCCTAAGCATATTTTTTTGTTGCCTAAATGAAGTTCATTTGTACAATTGTCTCAGTACAATGACAGGTCAATGATCAATTTGAGGATAGCTGTAATACAAATGCAATTGTCCAATTGTGTTTTTGTTTAACCCAACCTGAGTAAAGACATATAGCTTTTTTAATCATAAATTTATTTTTAGTAGGCAGGAACAATTTGAGACACCTACCAGACTAAAGAGAGAAGTAGAAGCATTAACAGCAAATATGAAAGCACTCGCAGCTTTAACACCCAATACTTTACAAGACAGAGCTTCTAGGAGGTAAGGTTTTGTTCCAAAGGCAGAAACATCAATTCACTTAATATAACTGTAGTATTCTGTACAGGGTAAAACACCCCAACAATCCATCAAACTGAAATATCAAACAACTATAGTTAATTCACTAGAGAGTGCTTCTAGATCATGTAATGGAATTAAGATCAAACTGATATAACTAGTTTTCTCCCCAGAAGACAAACAACAGCTAACAAAACATTACACAGTAACTAAACATATTCATGTATTCTTAAGATTGAACAACAGGAAATCCAACAAAAACAAAACCTGGGATGTTCAGGAGTGGTAAGCAGTTCCTGCTCCACATGTATACAAACCACATAACCAAAACTGTTAATTGATTATTTATTGAAGTTATTTTCTTTATTATTTGTTTTTTGGCTCAAATATCTGAAACTCCTGAACTGATTTAAATCAAAGTTGTCTTGATTTTAGATTTAAATTGTAAATGACATTCTGGTTTATAGTGTTTGACCAGGTTCTTTGGAGCTTCTAGTGTTGAATCAATACAGAGGGCTTACAGATAAAGTTTTCCTTTTCAGTCTCTATTTAGTTCCCTAGTCATGCTAGTGCTAAGCAAATAGAGGGGATAGGGAAAGTTCCTAAAAAACTAGTTTATAACCAGATATTTTGATGCCCCCGCCATAGGGAATGGGGGCATTAAGTGTTACCCTTGACTGTCATTCTATTCGTTCTTCTGTCCATTGCATTTTTTTTCCACACTCTTAACTTAAATTTTCTTCATCCATATTTATGAAACTCATACACAATGCTAAGAACCAAAACTTGCAGACAGAGTTTGAATTTGGGCATTGAGTCACTTACTGTTCTACAGTTATGCCCCTTTATAACTTGGAAAGTTGCTAATTTTTTCTTTTCTGCACTCTTTAAGTTTTTCTCATCCAAATTTTTTGAAACTCATACACAATGCTAAGAACCACAACATGCAGACAGAGTTCAAATTTAGTCAGAGAGTCACTTACCTTATGCTCCTTTATAACTTGGAAAATTGCAAAGCTTGAATGGGGGGGAATTCGTGTCCTCAGACACATTCTTCTTTAATTATATATATATAATCATGATCATTATGAACAGATGCTGTCATGACTAGTCTCCACTATTTAAGTTAAATATTTTAAATCTGTCTCCTTGAATATCAAAGTGTTTCAGCTTTCTATATGAATGCAATATAATTTTTTATTTTCAATGATATTTATTTTACAGAAAATCACCAATCACAAATGGTAGTTTGAAAACCAGGACAACAAGAACAAGCATGACAGCAAGAAAACAGATCCATACATTTGTATACTGAGTAAACCAGCATCTTAAGGTGGTACCTAACACTACAGGGAGATAACTCTGTAAAAATCAGCTAAACGTTTTAATTACGTTGTATTGTTAAGGAAATATTAAGCTTCTCAATGATCAAAATTAGTGTTTGTCAAACTGCTATATAACTAACGAAATTTTTCTGATAAAGTGATTGGTTCAAATTTTTTGAATTTTTTATATTTTTGCCAAAGGGTCAAAGTTAACATTTTGTCAAAATTTTATGAAAATTAAACGAGCCAAATTAATATTAGTCAAGGTGTTGGGTACCACCTTAACAGAACCTTTCAATATTTGTGAAGAGATTACTTTTATTAATGATTTAGGCAAAGGTTTTTCTTGCCAAATGTTAAAACTTAGATTATATCATTGTATATGGTGCTTAGACATTTTTTGTTGGATATGATTTGATTTGTTACCAAATATCTTTTTTTTGTAATTTGTAATATTAATATGAAGGGTTTCCTATTTTCATTGACTAGTTTAAGAATAAGTGATCTATATCTAGAATTTTTTGCATCAGCTAGTTTTAAAAATATCTCAAGTTCAATTTTCTCTGTATAATTTTTCAAATTTGAAAAAGCCTTTTTTTTAAACCCATATAAATTGGAATAAAAGTTATAACTTGGTGTTGTAAACTTTCCTACAGATGATATTTAAGTGCACTTCATCATAAAAAAAGTCGTGTTAATCAGAGCAAACTGGGCAATTCACAGTGTCACAGTTAAATTTTTGTTAATGATTGATAAAAATTTTGATTTCTAGAATATAATTCCATATAATTCCAACAAGAAGTTGGGTCTATATTTCCAAAGTTATGATAAGTGTTGCAAAGTCCTTCTGATGTTATATATGTATAAGACATTGGGTTGTTAAGCGAAAAAGTTCATCCAAACAGATGATATACTTTAACATGTCCACTTGCTGATGTAAGGTTGTCATAGTGTAAATATTTATAACTATATACTCAATACCTGGTTATGCTGTTACTTAAACATGAATATAGTGCTTTAAAATACTTATGTCTCTTACTATCAGTTTCTATACAGTTTCCATATTAGTGTAGATTAAAATAGCATTACAGAATTATAACTGCTAGTTTTTTGTCTTTTTCTTAGGGCTATCCCAGAAAAAAATGTATGGGGGGTTGGAAGGCACTTTATATTAATAATACTTGGGTGATGGGTATCAGAGCAACTTTTCACACTATAATGCACTATGATTCTCAATTACAATTGTCTGGGTTGTGGGTGCTGACAAAAACTGCCTTCCAACCCCCCCATACATTTTTTTCTGGAATAGCCCTTACTATATGTTCATTTCTTATGTTTAGTTTGCATTTAAATGAGATTAACAATGTGTTTATAGTATAATGTATCATGCTTTCACTTTAATACTTTCCTAGATCTTATAAATAACTTGTATTCGTTTATTTTAGTGGTTACGTGAACGATGAAAAATGCAATTCATTTTTCTAGTGTCACATAAAAAAATTCACATGGGTATATGTTGATGAGACTACAACCCAATTACAAGATATCCAAAAGATTCATTGTTTATTGTAATTGAGTTATTGGGAAGATCATTCGTAGTAAGAAACAGCACAGGTTTTTGAGAATATGTCAAATAGAAAAAGATGAAGTTTTACAAAGAATTGTAAGAATTGCACATACCACCGCTGATGGACTGTTAGTCCCAGGTGATAACAATTTAGTAGTCTGTGCTTCAGTACTGACATGATTTATAATATACTATTCTAAAATTATTGGTTGGTAAATTAAAATATTATTATGAACTAAGGGTTCTAACTCCCTCAGGCAAAGTTGACGATTGTTAAAATTCAACCCCCTTTTTTCTGTAAAATGTTATAACTGACAATTTTTCTGTTGAAATAAGTGAAGGTGTAAAGCTGATGCTTACTAGACAAGGTCATAAGAATCATTGAAAAAAAGTTAAGTATCCTCTGTCAATGATTAGCAAATATGCATTATTACATTGGTAGCAATGAATTACATTAATTTCCCAGTCAAATAAAAACCGATAATTTCACATGTGAAATAAACATGGTTATTTCACTCTCTGACGTCATACAACAATAGACGTTGTCAAGACGTCGATAACGTTAGATCAAAACAAATTGTGAATGCGTAGAAAAAAGATATAGTTCCTTACATTTTCTACATAAATTTCATTAAAAAAGCCATTAGCCAATGTAATGAAAAGAATAACTAATCAAAGAATTCAAATATCGAAAAATATTCAACTCGTGACCGAACAACACTGATAATTAACTCATGCGCTACGCGCATTCGTGAATTAATTTGTTGTTTGGTCACTTGTTGAATTTTTTTCTCTATTTGAATTCTTCGATTAGTTATTCTATAATTCTTTTTGTGAGACCTCATGTAGATATTGAAATATTCAATTACCACATTATGAATTGTTTTTCATTCATGCACCAAAAAAGCCTCATACCACAACTCAACAGATTTTAAGCATTTCTGTGAGCACAAACATGGCAATACATTCTTTAATAGCTTGTTACTAATGAAAGAATACGAAATTAATACATTAACAAAGGAGACATATTATATCTGTAACCTATACTGGGCATTATCGCAATTACTCTGGTCAATATGTTATCAATTTCACTATGTATGCATTAAAAAAGTTGTTAAAAGTATAAATGTAAAATCTGAAAAAAAGAGAAGAATGCTTCAAGGATAGCTGAAATGCCATTAAAGCCTTTGGCATTTTGAATTTATAGTAACTTTTAACATATGATCAAAAAGCCATTATTAATTTTCAGTTTAAGTTTATTAATTCTTTAATTGTTGTTGATTTCATTTCATAATTTTACAAAATTTTAAAATTCGGAATTTTGTATGAGAGATTTGGGGTATATTTAACTGAAATAGCAACACAACAAGCATTTTATAAAAGACACACGTTGAAACATTTTACGTATTACTAAATTTTTATTGTATTATCTTTGATACATACAGTTGTGCTGGTCACTTTTTATTGCTTTATCTAAAAGAAATGTGTTAAATTGGAGCATCTTACGTAGACCAAACACATGTCTGGTGTACCACATTATAATCTTGGTATCTTTGACGAGTTTTAATAGAGAAATCAGCATCTCCCTTTTTTCTTACATTTAGCCTATGATACCAGTTTGATTTTGGTTGCTTGCTATAACAATATGAATGATTTATATAATAAAAAAATTAATTTAAGAACAAATTATAATAAAAAGTAGTGTCATCTCATTTATTCCTAAGTTTTTGTTTTACTACAAATGTATCTTGGTTAGAATCTTATTAATGAATTTATTTATGTGATTTGAACATTGGTAACATAAGTTTTTTTTATGTTGTTACACAAGACTATAGATTCATTTAGATATTGAGTTATAACTTCAGCGACATTATTTTAGTGTCAGTAATTGATTCAGTAATATTTATTATTTGGATTAACTGGTTCCCTATTTATTATGTTAATTTACTTATCTTTTTTTCACATATTGTATCATGCATGTATTCTATTATTGTGTCAGTTTTGAGGGGTTCTTTTGAAAAAAAACAGTGATGCACTGCAAAATAAGAATTTAGAATTACCTCATTATTATATGGGTGAAATTTGAACCTTAATAAATCGCTCTTGTTGATTGTGTATAAATTACCTCAATGTCTCGGTATTTATGGAAATTATTTTGCATAAAGTGTGATAAAACATTTAGCTAATAGGAAATTCCTACTCTAGACAAGAATATGTTCAAACCTAACAGATGTAATATTACCTCAGTTTATTGAAAAAGACTACATGATGGTTCCTAGTTAGCAACAATTTTTTACTGCATTTTGTGAATTTAGTATTGCATTTTAAACTTGAACTTCATGAATGTTGATTTTCTTTGAAAAGCAATTTATCCAGTGTGTTATTGGGATAGAATTGTAGCTTATACTCATCATTTATACTTTGCAAGTAAAAGACTTAAACTTGAATTATTTAATAATTTCATTACATAAATATTTTATAAGCATTCATAGTTTTGATTGTCACACAACCGTTTCGAGGCATCCAAAAAGATACTTTATTTCCCAATAAAATGCAACATTCATGACTGCATGTGCTCCACATGACAACAATGCATAGAGAAACAAATAAGTTATACGAATGCACATTCACGTATCACTATACTCTTGTGGAATAAAAACAAATAATGAATAATAATTAATTGATGTTCTTAATCGTAAATGCATTTTCTGTTTGGAATAAATCAACTGAGAAAAAAACTTGAGGGAATCACATGAACTACCTATGGAGATGGACTGGGTGCATCGAAAAGGTAAACATCTCCTGCCATGCATGCATCTTGGACACTCTTATACTAAGTTATTTCTAAATTAAACATTTATTGTAACAACATTTCTATCATATTGTTATTCATAAATTGTTAACATAATCACATACAACCATAGTTGTTCTGTCAACTGATTTATCTGCATTCGATCTAGGTTTATTATTAAACATGGAGTCTATTTTGTATTGTTGTCTTTTAAACCTTTACCCCTTGTCCCTTATTCTTCCTCAACTAATTTCTATTAACTTATTTTGTAGATTTAAATATTGTAATGACATGATTGACACAAGATGCAATATTTTAAATACCAAATTTGAATCCCTTTCTTTTTGTAAATACCACAAAAAATTCATGTACTAACAATTTACAGTGTTATTATTGAGAGATCTACTTGCTTTATGAAGCAATAATGCTCTCTAGTGTGTATCATATGTTCATAGATAAATATGACTGTTAAAGATCTAGACTATTACTTTCCATAAAATTATAGAAGTACCAGAACATGTGTGAGTAATTTTTGTAACGCCTGTGACAAAAGTAGCAGTATGCGAGACATAGGGATAAAGATCTGGCAGCGACAGTTTAAACTATTTGTATAAAGCTCTATATTTCAGAAGGTAGAAGACCTGGATGC